GCCTTGGAAGCCCAATGCGACAGTTCTATGCTGTCTTATAGGGTCACTATGAGTCCGAACTGACTTGACGGCACACAATAACTATGCTACTTTTGTCATACATTTTAATTTTATGTTAAAAACTAATTTTGGTTTAGACCAGAGGTCAGCAAACTAGGACTTGCCCTGTTTTTGAAAGTAAAGTTTTCCTAGAACACAGTCATAGTTGTTCAATCTATCTGGCTGCTTTAGTGCTACAAGAGCAAAGTTGAGTAGTTGTGACAGAGACTACTGGCCCACAAAACCTAAAATACTTACGATTTGGCCCTTTACAGAAAAAGTTTCCTGGCCACTGCTTTAGGCAGTCAGTTATCTCTTAAAGTGATTTTTAAAAAATTATATTTACCTTTCAATTTTTTTTAAAACCACTTGTGGTCTTTCTTTGTCCAAGCTTCTCTCAGGTATTACACTCCTGCCTGAAGAACCTTCCTTAACATTTCTTGTAGCACAGGTCTAATGGCAAAGAATTTCCTCAGCTTTTGTTCTGAAAGGGTCTTCATTTTGCTTTCATTTTTGCCAGGTATGTAATTTGGGTTATTCAATTTTCCCTCCTTTCAGAACTTGAGGATATTGTTCCTTTGTCTTCTGGCTTTCATTATTTCTGACAAGAAGTCTAGTCTATTTCTTTTCCTTGTTCTTTTGAATATGATATGTTTTTTGTTTTTGTTACTCTGGCTGCCTACAAGATATTCTCATTATCTGGTTTTCAGTAGTTTGACTGTGATGTGTACAGGTGTTTTCTTTCTTTTCTACTACTATTATTTTGGTACTAAGCCTACTTGGGGTTGTCTGAACTTCTTGGACCTATGGTTTGAGCTTGTCCATTTTTTAAAAAAATTCTTAGCTATCATCTCTCAAATGTTTTGTCTTGTTCTTCCTCTCTTCTCCCTGTGGAACACCAACTTACTTATCTTAGACCATCTGATTTGTCTCATTTTAATGTTCTGTTTTTCCCTACTTTTTTTCTCCTTTATTTTAGTTTAAATAATTTATATTGATCTATTTTCAAGTTCATTAATTCTTTTCTCAGCTGTGTTGGGTCTACTGATGAGCCTGAAGGAATTCTTCACCTCTGTAGAAATTCTTCATGTTTTTCATTTTTATAGTTTCCTGCCTCTGGCTATGGAATCCTTTCAGCCTCAAGACAAATACAAGTATCTTAGATCTCTCTTTATAGTTTCCATGCCTCTGCCAAAATTCCTCATCTGTTCATGCATGTCATTCACCTTTTCTATTAGATCCTTTAACATACTAATCACAATTTAGTTTAAAGTCTCTGATAGTTTCAACATCTGGGTCACCTCTGAGCCTGGTTCTGTTGATTGCTTTATCTCTTGACAATGGGTCAGGATTTTTTTTTTTCCTTGTCTTTTTTTGGGTGCCTAATTTTTTTTAAGGCACTGTAAATGAAGCTGTACAGAGATAATTAGTTTCTCATTACACAATTAATACACATACTGTTTTGTGACATTGGTTGCCAACCCCACAACATGTCAACACTCTCTCCTTCTAAACCTTGGGTTCCCCATTACCAGCTTTCCTGTCCCCTCCTGCCTACTTGTCCTTGCCCCTGAGCTGGTGTGCCCATTTAGTCTCATTCTGTTTTATGGGCCTGTCTAATCTTTGGCTGAAGGGTAAACCTCAGGAGTGACTTCAGTACTGAGTTAAAAGGGTGTCTGGGGACCATACTCTCAGGGTTTCTCCAGTCTCTGTCAGACCAGTATGTCTGAACTTTTTTTTGTGAGTTTGAATTTTGCTCTCCATTTTTCTCCAGCTCTGTCCAGGACCCTCTATTGTGATCCCTGTCAGATCAGTCAGTGGTGGTAGCCAGGCACCATATAATTGTGCTGGACTCAGTCTGGTGGAGGCTGTGGTAGTTGTGGTCCTTAGTCCTTTGGACTAATCTTCCCCTTGTGTCTTTGGTTTTCTTCATTCTCTCTTGCTCCAGATAGGGTGGGGCCAGTGGAGTATCTCAGATGGTCACCCACAAGCTTGTAAGGCCCCAGACACTACTCACCAAGGTAGAATATAGAACATTTTCATTATAAACTATGTTATGCCAATTGAGCTAGATGTATGTGCCTAATAATTTTTGACAGAATGCTGACCATGGTGTGGAGAACAGGGGAGACTGAGACAAATATTATTTACACCTAAAAACAGGCACACCTATTCTTCTGCCAAGCCATTAGTATGGAGGGGTTTAGTCAATCTAGTCAGGATCTAAGCTTGGTACGAATTTTACTGTTGTTATAGTTACTTTCAGTGCACCACAGGTTTCAAATCCCTCTACTGGTAGACTACTACACTGTCTTGTACTTAAGATTAAGAATAGGAGCCAAAGGGTTTTTTCTCAATTTTCCTGTTTTTCTCTCAGTTTTCAACCACTCCTGCATACCTACACCAAAAAGGGATCCCCCTCCATGGTCTTACCCTTCCTCCAGCAGTAGATAGCTTTTGTTTATTACTCGATGTTAGGCTCATGGTTGGGACAGGTGAGATTCTGTTGTCCTGGTCCAGACTCAAGTCTTAGCTAGGTCCTGTGCCTCTCCTTTCTATGATAGCCAAAATCTGCTTTGTATTTGTGGTTGGTCTTATGAGGGAATTTTCTATTTCTCCATAGGTCTAAAAGACCTCTTCTTGGTATCAGTGTAGGATCCTGGGTCCCAAAATGGTTTCTGCACGTATTTCAGAGATAAAGGGTTTTCTCTTCTCTCCTTCCTCCAGTAGCAATGAGTCTTTGCGTTCTGGAGGACAGAGGGCTCCTCCTCCCAGAGGCAGAGTTGTTTTGCTTCTAATTCTCCAGAAGCTTTTGAGTTAAGAAGGTTCCTGCTCCTCCTCCTTCACTGGTTTAAGGCTTAAGGGAGAAAGGGGCCTGAGCAAATGGGAGGGGTTTTTAAGGAGCCACAGATCACTTCTTCCACCTCTGTATCACTGAGGTAGGCTTTCTCCAATCTGTTGCCTTGCCCCCAACCTTAACTGCAAGCGTCCTGTGAAGGACTGTGGAAAAGTACTTACAAGCAAGTGTGAACTCTCCTTGTATCAGGGGTCCCCAGCTATTCCAAACTAAGATGCTAGTCCATACCTGGCCTAACAATCAGCTAAAATTTTAACTGATTTCTTCTTATCCACTTTTATGGCAACCATTTCTTTCTTTCATGCTCTGTCAAAGGTGAAACAATTCATATGACCATACCCATTTCCTTGGGAGGTGGAGGCATTTAGGTTACTTGGTTGCTTTGCAAACTCAGCTCTCTGTTGAGGACAAGAGAAGTTATAATTTTGTAGATTATCTAGCTTCTTTTTGTTGTGAGGGTGGGACATTCTTTGAAAGCTCTTTACATCCTGAGCAGAAGTAGATTTCCCCTTCTACTTCAATTCACCTTCCTTTTCTACTTTTGTAAAGGCATCACCATTCTTCCAGTCATCCAGATGAAACTTTGAAAGTATCTCTGACTTCTTCATCATGTCTAATAACCAATCAATTAATAACATCTGAAGCAGATGAATCACTGATATCTCTTTAATAGGACCCTTTCTTTTCATTTCTCTAGTACAAGTTCTTATCATCTCACAATGGTCTGTTATAACGACATTGCTTCAACCAGTCTCCACTCCTTCTTCCTCTAATTAAACCTGCCTCTACCATCAGACTGCCTTACTGTAGCATTGCTTTGACTGCTTATAATCAAGACCAGTCTCAGTCTGGTCCTACTCTGACTTTACAGACCACCATCCTACAGGAACAGGTACTTTAACCATTCTGACAGTATTTCCTGACTGGTCCAGATCCTCTTTTTAACACCAGGAAATCTTATCATTCAAGGCCTACTACAAAAGAAAGATTTTCCATGAAAAACCCTCTCTGATCACAAAGATGGAATTCTTCTCTTTGGAATTTTATGCTGCATTATCTGTACTATACAAATAGTACCTATTATAGACTAGTATTAAAGCTGCGTACATTTCTTATCTTCCTGATTATACTGTAAACTCCTCGAAGGCATAGGCCGGTTCTTATAGATTGTTATATTTCCTCTTTTAGGTTTCCAACATAAATATTTATCTTACAAATTAAATAGCAAAATTAATAATACGACACTTAGACTTTCCTTCTTACAATCCACTCATCCTTAACGCATCCCTGACAAGACCATTAAAAAAATTCACCAGTCCATAAAAACTGTCTCAAAAAGAAAGAAGCACACACACTATAACTATGATTATTATACTATCAAAGCGTTTTCAAAGGAAAGTCCACTAAGGATTAGTTTAGGGACCTCCAAGTATAGTCTACCATTTATACTGTTAGAGTTAGATCTAAAATGGTAACCCCAAACACAAATATACTGAAGCGCCTTTGCTTAGTTCCATGTAAATACACTCTAAGATAGCTACAAAGTTTACTAAGGAAAATCACTGCCACTAGTAAAAAGAAATAAGCCTATCTACTTCACTGACTCGGTTTCTGTCTTATTTGGTAATCATATTCAGGCATTCTGCCAAGATGCAACAGTTGATGTGCTCCAAAATCATTTCCAATAAATAGGGAAGGGCATAATCACAGACTAACATATGAAGAAAACAAAATAAACTCGTTGCTGTCAAGCAGATTCCGACTCATAGTGACCCTATAGGACAGAGTACAGCTGCTATCTAGCTATCTATCTGTATGTGTTCATGTGCAGTATCCCTAAGTGGTAGGATTTGGGGTGTGTGCCCGTTATCAATTTACTGCCTCTCAGCTCAAAATTCAAGCTTCACTACCTGTTCTGTAAAAATGAAGCTGTGCCCTTCAAATATTTTTCCTTTGCCAGCTGGCACAAGTTGTTAAGCTTTTATCAGTAGAGGGTGCTGGAGATACACTGTAGGAGGAAAAGAGGTTTTCGTTGCTGGTTCCAGTGTTCTCTCTAGGTGAGTTCTGGGTTCCGGGCAGCTTCCCTCAACACTCAGCCCCGCTTGGTTGGTGGCTCTCCCTCGCACTCTAGAGAGCCGATTTTGCGCAGGGGCCATGCTAATCTTCTCTGTATCGTTCCAAAAAAATATGGAACGCTTCACGAATTTGCATGTCATTCTTGCGCAGGGGCCACAGAGAGCTGATTTTGAACATGTTTCACCAGCACAGCATGATAGCAACTTTTTACCATCCAATAAGCCACGGCTGAACCCTCTCCAGCAAGGTCTGGATCTCGGCCCTTAGGGCAGGGAGGGGAGGGCTCTTCTTTGGGCACTATATCTCAGACTTAGGAGTAGCGGCTGCTCCTTATATCTGTCACTCCTATACAGGTAGCCTTCGACTTATGATGTATTTGAGTTACGACAAAACACACTTATGACCGTCTGTTCTCTTTTTTTGTACATCTCATCATTAGTAATACGTACTACAATGTTGCAGTGCATAATTTGCTTATGTTATCATTCTCAGATGTAATATTTCCAACCCTCAAAGATAGATTTATAAAGATACTGATAATAAAAGGCAATGATAATGAAAACTAAAAAAAAAAAAAAAATGAAGTATTCGATTTATGTCAGAACCGACTTATGACAGAGTAGTCATCAGAACAGAACCCCATCATAAATCATGGACTACGTGCATTCCTCAGAGTTCTCTTTACTTCTTACTAGCCAACCCCTCGTTACTCCAATTCCTTGTTATAGTTAATAATTCTTTATATTAAACTTTCCCTGTTCAAACTGCTATGGGGTTTCTCCTGATTGGACCTTGATTGATTCAGGGTTGATTTTTTTTTCCTTTATTCTTTTCAGTGTTGTCTGAATTTTTCATAACAAGCTTTTTTTTTTTTTTTTTTTTTTGTAATAATCAGAAAAGGCAGGTTAATTTTATTTTAGAAAAACTGAAGGAAAAAACATTACTTTTAGAAGTTATTCTTAACACGGCAGAAATATATTTGGAATATTATAATGATTACAATCTGAAAGACACTCATTTGTGTAAGACTATAACTGTTCATTTTTCTTAATATCAATTTCTTTTCAATATAATCTAAAATTGTGTTTCTTGGTAATTTTAAGCTATAGAGATGACTCATGTTACTATTTCTTTTTCTCTTAGTTATGCCATATGTTGGCCTTTACAAAAAGGTTAATGATTATGAGGCCTCCTGAGTGACAGATGACTAGTTCCTCAAATACAGTCAGCCCTCCTTCATCTTACTATTTTAGCCTCCCTTACCATGTTCAAGGATTATCAGCTGGGCTCCAGCTTGCACATTTCCAACATCATTCTCAGCAATGCACTGATAGAATCCTTCATCTGATTTCACCAGACCCAAAACCTGAAGGTTATGTTCCTTCTGAGGAAGAAAAACATAAATAAAACATTATGATTCAATTGATGAATATCAGTTCAAAATTCTTAAATTGTTATTGATATAATACTATACAGCTTTAAAATAAAAAAATAGAGTACAAATATTGATAAAAGTGTAAAATTGTTGATTTAACCGTAACAGGTTGGCATTTAGTTAATGCTAAATACTTATGAACTACTTTTTGTAATTTATGAGATCATGTATTTCAAAAATAGAAAATACATTCCTACTAAGAATGAATCACTTATATGACAAACTTGTAATGAGACATTAAGTCTTTAACAACCGTAATTACTTCTGATCATTTCTATGAATGTCATGCATGCATTTTAAGATATGTCATCAATACTAAAACATGGATAATTCTATTACTAGGATGTTAGATGATGATAATGATGGTGATAGTAGCTAAGTGTTTACTATATAAAAAGTAGAAAGCACTTATGGCTGAGTACTCTTAAATATATTTAATATTATTTACTTTTTGTATTTACTTTTAAAAAGAATTTTTACAATCTATATTGTTACTCGAATTGTCCAACACTGGGTAACACTTATTTAGAAGGGCCTAGGCATCAGCAGGAGCCCTGATGGCTCAGTGGTTAAGAGCTCGGCTGCCAACCAAAAGATCAGCAGTTCAAATCCACCAGCTGCTCTTTGGAAGCCTTATGGGGCAGTTCTACTCTGTCCTATAGGGTCACTATGAGTTGGAATTGACTTGACGGCAACGGGTTTGGTTTTTGGGAGGGTTTAGGCATCACAAGGAGCTCTGGTGGCTCAGTGGTTAAGAGCTTAGCTGCTAACCAACAGGTGAGGAGTTCAAACCCACCAGCTGCTCCTTGGAAACCTTATGGGGCAGTTCTACTCTGTCCTATAGGGTCGCTCTGAGTTGGAATTGACTCAATGACAGTGAGTTTGGTTTTTGGTTATATGATTTTTGGTTAAGTTTTGTATAATATTTATTATTTTTCTAAGTGTTTATTATCTCAGTTGCATTACTAGCTAAATATATTTTCCTAAAGGACCAGCTATACATGCTTTAAGGTACAGATTTCTGCTCCTTGAATAGAAAGCTAAAGGCCACAATTGGTCACATATATAAACACACAAAATCATTACTCAGAAAATAGTGGCAGACGTATTTGACTAAGGGTACCAGTGTGTCTGAGTAAGAGTACTAGACTGTTGGTCAGGAGATCTGGACTTAGATTAGCCACTGATCTGCTACGTGGCCTTACATAAGCTACTGAAATATTTCTGGGCTCAGCTTTCTAATAAGTTAACATTCTATGTGAATTTTTCTACCTTCATTTACAATACATAAACTGGTGTACGTAAGAAAATTGATCTCTTGGTGATTACATTTAAAAGTTTCAGAGATAAAATGTCCTTTGAAAAATACTTACTACAATCTTAAAGTAATCACTTGGAATAACCATATCACCATTCTTGACCCACTTCACAGTTGGAGTTGGTTTCCCAGTCACTTCACATTCAAATACAATATCCATAGATTCGTGAGCGTATATATTAGCAGGTTGCTTCAGGAATTCAGGTTGGGCTTTAAAATAGAAAAAAATTAAGATATTAATGAGAATAAAAATACACAGTTATACATTATTTCAACCATTTTTTTAAATCATAAAGTTTACAGATTTTTACTTATTATCTGATACCTTCACATATTTTTGCAAAGGTATATACCAAACATATAAAAACTAGAATTTAGGTACAAAATACCTTTAAAAATTGGTTTTCTAGTACAATTAACTGGAAGAATAACTACAAAGATAATTTCCGAGTTTCTCTAACTCCTTGTATAGAAATAACTACTAAGTCAACTACGTTGAGGAAACTGAAAATATGAATATGCCAAGCTATCTAAAAATGAATATTAAAGAGTATTTTCTTAAGATTTATATCATTTTGGAAAAGCCATAATTAAAATTCAAAGAGTTGAGAAGATGGATGATCTTCCTTTTCAGTCAGCTTGATGAATGACAAAAAAAAGTATGCAACATAAATGTCACATTAGAGGCCTAAAATACTTCACTCATGGAACACACTCCCATTAGTAACATCCTTCATTACATGAAATAGTTTTTAAAGGTGGAAGAGTGAGTGACATCTCTGGAAAAAGTGTAAGTATGTTTGAAAAAGCCTCTCTGAATATTCTAGTATTTCCCTTTCCTCTTGACCCAGAATTGTAAATCGATGACATAAATAACAGGTTTGTAAGATTTTGAATTAAAAGGGTCAACAAAGATCACCTAGTCCAACTTTCTACCTAATGGTGTAATTTCCTATACAACACCCTTGATAAGGGTCTTCCTGGCCGCTCCCTGAAATTTTCAAATAACAAGGAAGCAGCAAGCTCTACTGTAGGCTAGCTCTATTAAATCACAACAATGACAACAACAGTTCCTTCTATCGTTGAGCTAAAATGTGCCCAGTGTGCCGGGATTTTAATTGGGATTGTGCTGAATTTGGGGCAACCTGGCATCTTAACAATACTGAGTCTTCATTTCCACTTATTTATATCTTTTATTTCCTTATCAACATTTCATATTTTTAGGATATGGAAATCTTACTTATACTTTGCTAGGTTTATCCCTAAGTATTTCAAATACTTTAGTTTTTTTTTAAATTTCCAATTGCTCATTGCTAGTATACAGAAATGAAATTGATTTATGTATATTGATCTTGTATCTTGTGGTCATGCTGAACTCACTCATTAGTTCTAGTAGCTTTTGGGTAGACTCTCTGGGATTACCTACATAGACAATCATGTTGTCTGTGAGTAGAGTCTGTTTTACATCCTCCTTTCCAATTTTCTTTCCTTTTTTCACATTTTCTCGTCTTACTACACTGGCTAGGGCAGGCCCTGGGAAGAAGTCCAGACTAGCATCACAACTTGGGTAAATGAAGAGTAAGAGCACAGGTAACAGGCAGAACTCCAGACAACAGTAGGAGACCAAGAGGGAAGAATGTATAATCTTAAGAAGCAACGCACTCAGTAATGGAGAATACCGAAAACGTAAGTCTGTGCAACAAGATGAAATCAGAGAAATTATTAATAGTGAATTTGACTATCCTTTTAAACAATGATCAGCCATTTGTATTTCTTTTGTGAATTTTCTATACATGTACTCTGCCTATTTTTTTCAACAAGAGTGTTCACAACTTCCTTATCTGTTTCTAAGAATTCCTCACATATTAAGTGTGCTGGTTATCAATTTCTGGCCTCTCAGTTCCAAATCTACCCTTCTTTGCAATAATGAATGGGAATTGTTGCTAGTGAGTACAATGTTAGATCTGTCAATAGGGGTCACCAGGGGGACAATGCAAAGCACAGCTTATCTTTCAGGTTAGGTGTGCTCTTCTTCTTGCCCCTATGTTGTGGCTGCTAGAGGGTATGCAGGGGGTGGGGGGACCCAGTGATCCTCCCTCCTGCAAGTTTCTGTACTCAGTCTCTAGCAAGTTTCTCCAGCACTCCAACGGGTGGCTGTCTGCACACTGGCTCCAACCCACAGCATCACAATGGACAGTTTCAGCATATCAGCTCTGATTTATGGCACCCCAGTGGAAAACCTCCTGCTCACCATCAGTTCAGGCCCACGGCACCCCAGCAGGTGGCTTTCTGCACACTAGCTCAAGCCTGTAGCTGTCTAGTGGGTGACTTCCTGTGGATCAGTTTTGGTCCATGGCTGCAGCCTTTGGCAGCAGCTACAC